CAGGGAGCTGTGAGGAGGAAAGAGCCGTCCTGTGCCGGGAAGGCGGCCGGAGCTTGAGCCGGAGCTCCGAGCTGGTGGTCCCTGAGCAGCCTCCCAGCAGGGAGAAGCCCTTCAGGTGCTTGGAATGTGGGAAGAGCTTCAGGGTGAGCACCCAGCTCCTCAGCCACCAGCACATCCACACTGGGGAACAACCCTACAAGTGTCAGGAATGTGGGAAGAGCTTCGGGAACAGGTCCTGGCTCCTCAGCCACCAGCGCATCCACACTGGGGAACGGCCCTACACGTGTGGAGAATGTGGGAAGAGCTTCAGGACGAGCTCCAACTTGATCGAACACCAGCGCATCCACTCCGAGGAACGGCCCTACATGTGTAGGGAATGTGGGAAGAGCTTCAAGCAGAAGTGTGCCCTGACCCAACACCAGCTTTCCCACACTAAGGAACGGCCCTACACATGTGGGGAATGTGGGAAGAAGTTTAAGACCAGCTCAGCTCTCCTCAGGCATGAGCGGACTCACACAGAGGAGAGACCCTTCCGCTGCACCGACTGTGGGAAGGGCTTCAACCAGAACGGCCACCTCATCAACCACCGGCGCATCCACACCAGGGAGAGGCCCTACAAGTGTGGGGAGTGTGGGTAGAGCTTCACCCAGAGAGGTAACTTGATCTCCCACCAACGGACACACCGGTAAGGAAAGCTCTAGGAGGGCCCAACAGTAAGGGAAGAGTTTCGGCCGCTGCTCCAACCCCGAATGACCCCTCTGATGGTGAGGCAACCCCTGGAGTCCAGTGACTATCAGTCCATCCCTTTCTACCAGAAAGGGACAGTCCCTTTCCCAGGGGCAGGTTGTGCCAACAGAACCCTTCTTGGGGGGGTGTGTGGAGATTCCTGCCTTGGCTGGGACCCCCCAGGGTCACTGCTGGAGGTTGAGAGCAGAGGTCTGGGGGAGTTCCATCCCTCTCTAATTCATAATTCTTGCTTTGGCGCCAGCTTGAGTAGAATTGCTTCAACAATTGCTTTAGTGTAGAGCACTGTCCTATCTTATGCTGTCCTACTGGTAGTTTTAGTGTTTTTATTGTGCAGTAAATAATTCTGATGAAGATCTTTTGTCTGTTCATTTGTAACCCTAAATAATTCATTTCTATCAGTAGATGTTATTTGCCACCCTTAAAACCTGGGGGACAAAGTGGTTCAGTCCCACCTTTGTAATTCCTCTAAACTGAACCTGTTGACATAACCGAAGGCTGAGATTGGATCCAGCAGCCCCAGCACCCCACAGTCAGTTGGGAGCTCAGGGGACCACCCCCTTTTGTAAATCCTTCTGTTCCCAAAGACCCCCATGGGACTGTCAGACCTGCTAGACCACCCCCCCTTTTCCACTCTTCTCCATGTTCCTCCTAGTTTTCCATGGTCACCTGTAACAATTTGCTTAAATACTGCAGAAAGAACTTCAGATTCAAATATTCCCTTGAGCAAAACTAAAACTCACGCGAGTTATCTGTTGATACCAAAAACTGACTTTTATTAATTGCTGAGAGATGCAAAGGGAACGAGGAAAAAATAAGAAAAGGTTGGAAAATGCTAAGATTATTTCTAGATGCAGAGAAAAGATACCACTGAAAACTACCTTTACCCTTTACCTTTACCTGGGCTGGTCTGTGTGTTCGGGGGGAGAAGCAGTTTCTACCTTTTTTGTCTCTGTCCCTGCAGCTTTTGGATGTTGTCTCTGTAGCTGCAGGGGCTCTGACAGCTTTAGTTCTCTGCAATGCACCAGGTGTGGTTTCACCGCTCATGCCCCTGTCCCAGGCCGTGCAGGGTCTCAGCTCAGCCCAAGCTTTGGGCCCTCAGAAATATGGTCAGGGCAGAAGGATAAGGTAGAACTGCCACATGTGGCACGGTGGTCTCAGCTCTCTCCAGGCCGGCACAGTTCCAGTCTCCGGTGGCAGGCAGGCAGCACGCGGTGGCGGAGAAAAGGTGAGGGGAGGTGGGCAGAGATTCTCGGCTACAGTCACCAGTTCTTCTCCCTTTCCTCTCCCTGATTTCCCAGAATTTCTCCTCAAGCTTTATAGTATTCGTAGGAGGTTGAACGTGGTTTCTTGGCATGTAGCCAGTTGAGATGTTGGAGGAGATATGATAATCGTAAACAATGGCAGGATCTTTTGGCAGGAAAAGTGCCGTGGGAAGTCCTGGTGGGAACTTGTGGCAGAGAGCTGACAGGGAATGTTTGATAGGAAGGTTTTGCCAGGCAGAAACAATTTTTTGGGATTTCTGTATTATCTGTGTGTTACAGATGGTTGCCAGGGTAAGCGACATAACAGGGAATGCGTAATGGTTACCATGGTAACAGACCCTAGTGATGGGAATGTATGATGGTTGCCATTGTAACTGTTCATAGCAATAGGAATGCTCAATGGTTGCCATGGTAACTGACCGTAGCAATGGGATATGACGGTACCATGACAACCGACTTTACAATCAGAATGCATAATGGTTGCCATATTAACCAACCCTAGCAATGTACATGCACAATGGTTGCCATGGTAACCACATCACCAGATGAATGAACAATAGTTGCCATGGTAACCCACATATCAATGAGAATGCACAATGGTTGTCATGGTAACGGAGGTAACAATGACAATGTGTAATGGTTGCCATGGTAACCATTGTAATAATGGAACTGCACAATAGTTGCCACGGTAACCGACATATTAATCAGAATACTCAATGGCTGACTTGGTAACCGACAAAAAGAATGGGAATTTTTAATGGTTGCCATGGCAACCGATGTCACAATGACAATACTTAATTGTTGCCAAGGTGTAAGGGAGTACTTTTGATTCAGATGATCAGTGGAGCACAGAGGGGTGAGAAAGTGATTCTATTCACATGTGAAACCAGCCAGAGTGTTGTACAAGGTGACTTTATTGCACAAGTTGACTGTAAGGCCCATTGTGCCTTTAGCAAAGTCAACTGGATGTCCCCCATTATCAGAGCTGAGTTCCTCCTTGGCTTGGCTCCACTCTGCAAGAGAGATACAAATCCCCTTGGAACACAATGGGACAGGTCGTCCCTAGGGCTGAGGAAGGTGATGGAGAGGAAGATGA